ATAGCCCTTGTGATTATTTGTTTATTTACAGTATTTGTAATTTTGACTGGTTGCAATATCATCCACAGTGATACTGTGGAAAATGATCACTAGTTTTAATATGTCCTTTGAAAGGCATACAGTTCAGATGTCAATAGAGGACCAAAACAGTGTAGTACACTGTTACTTGCTATATATGCAAGTTTGTAGAAATGTCAAAAGTAGAATGTTGTTACCAGCAGCTCAGAAGAACTCAGTCCAGCTTTCTGATTCATAGCCACATATGCCTGATATACAAGGTATATTTTATGTTAGTCATTAGACATATATTTTTATACTATTGTTGTCTGATACTTGTAATATTCTACACACCCATGTGTGCTGTCAGTGACTTTGTTCCTGGTGTCTTTTTGTACCCTCAGATATTGTAGCTCGTGTGCCAGAAGACACCAGAAATGCATGTTCATTCATTTGTTGATGCAGACTGTTGGTCTGCTGGTCATGACTAAATGCAACAGTGTGTTTGAGGCTGACACAGTGAAATACTTTTAACCTGCATTTACAAAGTTAATTATCTCCCTGAGCTCCCTGTCATGCTTTACTGGGATGAGGTCCTGGTAAAAATAACATGGACACACACACAGGTCTTTGACAGGGCTAAATCTTGGGCAGTTAAAATAAGACAAAATTTGCTGCTTTGCAATAAAAAACACACATTCTATTTAAATGCATTAGTGTTGAAGTGAAACAGTGAAGTCTTTATTAAGGAACATAGCAATAAAAATTATAAAGGCAAAAAAAAATCAGATACAAGTATCAGAATTAAAACTAAATAAATGCATACATTTGAAATATTTAATAGCTCTTACCTGTAAAAATGTTTTCCACCCATCTTCGTCTGCTTTATCCGAGACCGGGTCCCGGGGGCAGTAGTCTAAGCAGAGCCTCCCAGACTTCCCTCTCCCCACACACCTCCTCTAGCTCCTCAGGAGGAACCCCAAGGCATTCCCAGGCCAGCTGGGAGACATAGTCTCTCCAACATGCCCTGGGTCTGCCCCAAGGCCTTCTCCCAGAGGGACATGCCCAGAATACCTCCCCAGGGAGGTGTCCAGGGAGCATCCTAAACAGGTGCCTGAGCCACCTCAACTGCGCCCAGCCACTCTCCAGAGGAAACTCATTTCTGCCGCTTGTATCCGCGATCTCATTCTTGTAGTTTTTAAATATAAATAGTCATATTTAAAGGAAATGACACTGAGAGCTGTGGTAATGGATATAGAGTTTTCCTAACACAAGAATAATATTTCCTACATGTTCAGTAATCTTACCTGAGTTTTCAAAATAAAAAACAATCCTTCACAAGTTAATGTTAATGTTTCTTGAGTGTACAGTATAAAAAGAAATGAGACACTCACCCAATTTTATAAAAATGAGTGAGGTAATGATTCAGGCTCAGTCTCCATGTAATGACAATATCAGCTAGGTATACAGAATATGAAGTAATGCTTGCAGTTGGGTTTTTCTTGCCTTTGCTTTATCAAGTCTGAGAGAATATTCCTGATGATATGATCTAGGCAAACTGGTCTGAACGACAGAAATTGTGGGAGCCCCTGTAATGTCAGTGTGTTTTGAGAATGAAGTAACAGTCACAGAACAAGTCTACAAATGTTTGAAAGGAAGCTGGAAAACAGTTTCATGTTTACTTGTAATAGGACCTTTGCAGTGTAATACCCAGTAGGCTTTTAGCCAGGACTGACTCTCTGCCTTGTCCTCAGTTCCCTCAGTTGCAAACTTGCAATTTTGATTGCAGCTTAGCACTGTGTGGGTGAGTGATTTAATACACATAGCTGGAGGTGGAAAAAAAATACTGTCAAGGTCTTTGTGTTGTAACAGCAGTTCTGAGGGAACTTTTACCTACAGGAAAAGCAGCCATGGCCTGTGCGCCAGAGTGGTAACTTTATCCAGAGCACTCAGCAGAGAGGGGGAGCTACTAGGACTTGGCTGGTGAACACAGTGGCTCAGCTGTCAGTGATGTGAACTGTCGGACTTTATCTGTCCTGCATGTTCTTTTATGAAGAATAATCAGAGTCAAATATCACCTTTCCAACATTTATTATCACAACTGAATAGGCCATCGAATAAAGCAATTTACAGAGCTCTGGGTTCCATCTATCTGAAGCCCTACCAGACGACAACAACAAAACCGTTCAATCTGCCTTCAGAGCAGAGGAGCGCTGTCCTCCTAAACTTAATTAATTTTATACAATTCGAATGTGCAATTGTAGATTGGTCTGGTCCTCTCATGCTGTTCCATTGGACCATCTATCCGTCCGTCCTCCTGCGTCCTTTCTGCTCCAATGGGAAAAGGCAGCTTCCTAAAGAGGGAGGAAATTCTACTCTGTCTAAATTCCTACATACCCACTCACTTCTTTCTTTGTTTTTAACTAACTACACTTATCTGAGGCATGGCTTTCCGTTTGGCTAATTAAACTGTCTTGCCTGTGTGTGTATGTATATGGTCCTACCTTTGAAGTTGTATCCTCTTCCTGGCTTTTAGATCTAATCTCTGTTTATTACTCTTGGTGTCCCAGTGACCCCAAATTTCCCTGATTTCTTCAGCCAGGTGGAGATAATAAAATATCTGTGGACCCTCCCTGTCAAAGCTGTAAACCTAATAAAACTCAGTGTTGTAGTGAAGTCCCTTTGATGTTAAACAGTGCCCCAATTGGCTAACACAGTAAATACTAACCAGGAATTCAATGAAAACATAGAATGATATACTCAACTAACTATGTAAACATAACTGTGACATATACGTAGGTAAACTTATGTGTGCTATAAACTGAATCTTAATTCGTTTTCTTAATATGATAGAATAATCATATGCAAACAACGTAAACACACAGGTTAACTAATCAACATAGTGTCAGTATTCTACTAATTAAGTTCTTAATTCAATCAAATGTTAGAATCAATCCTAGAGTATAACTTTGTTAATAATTTTACCCAACAGAACACATCCAAGAAGAAGATCAGCTGTGGAAAAACAGCTTCATTGCTGTAAATGTTAAACATTTCTCCCTAGCATGGCAAGTTGGCCATTACCTGCTCACTTTCATTTAACTGAAAACACTGAAGAAGTTTGTATAGTTGTTTGCCTGTAAATATAGACTTACTGGGTACTTTGATTTAGGAGTTAGTAGATGATCACCAAAGATGTAATTGTTTTGGATGATTTTTTTTTTTTTTTTAAAGCTGAAGTAGAAATCTACAATTGTTGACTGACATTCTGTTGTTGAACTTTGCCAACTTCACAACACTAAGGCAACACATGTCCCTTCATCATCCTGCTGATAACCAGCTCAGTCACAACATGTTTACCACACTGTCAGGCTTCCCATCAGAGGTATATTGATTTGCAGTCCCTGGTCATTGTGTGACCTGTTCACTGGCACAGCTTACCTACCTGGCATGACAGGGAGGCACAGAGACTAATTTGGAAGTTGATCTAAAATCCATGGATCAGGTTCAGGACAAACACAGTGACACACACAGTGGTACCAAATACTGAAATGTAACTGTGCAGGAAGAGTCAGCCGTCCCTGGTAGGCTAGTGGTTAAGTCAGGGTTCGAGTCAGGGTTGTGTCAGGAAGGGCATCCGGCGTAAAAAAAACACATGCCAAATGTCAGCATGCAAGTCATTAGTGTGACGATTTGCTATGGCAGTGGCTTTCTAGCTGTGCAGGAAGGGTCAGTGTTACAGATTTGCTGTGTTTTCTTGTTCCTTAGTTGAAGATGAAGTGTTGTACATGTGACTCCCAGAACCCCAACACTCAGCTGGCCCACACTGTCCAGGATGTCCTGTCCACTTCTGGACCAAATAGATGGTGGCAGTCGAGGAAAGGTGGGTGAAGACAAAAAGAGTAAAATACCGAGAATTAGATGAGACAGAAACAAAGACCTGGCTACAGCCATTTGTTTAGTTATCCAAGCTCTTTCATTTTTTGTCAGTAGAAGCATATTCTCAGCTGTCTTCATCAACAGAGGACCCACTTACTGTAAACTGTGCTTAACCACATCCTCTGGCTGCACATTGAAACCATGAATGTCTGAAAATCAGGTTAAAACAAATCAGTCTTTTTGTGAATGCCTGTAAAATAATAATAATAATAATAATAAATCAATGAGTCTTGGACATACTATGTAGTGTCTCTGATGGAGATGCTGCCCTGCTTGTTTGTCCTGTAGAGGTGAGTCCAGTCACCCTCCAGTTGGACCTTGACAACCTGTTCCAGCTTGACCACCTAGTGCTCAACTTTAAGGTATGAGCCAGTCTACAGCCACCATGAATATAACAAAAGAATGAAAGACACCTGATTTACATGTTAACATTTTCATGATGTATTTGAAATGATTTGTCTTATATAATGTATGTTGCAAAATCTTAAATGATGTATTTATATACAATTTTTTTAATTTTAACATTATTTGACACAATTTATGAATTCTAAAACTGAAATCTTTTCTTGTTGATTACTTTTTATATGTAGGGTCCTCGTCCCAATGCCTTGGTTATAGAGAAGACACTGGATAAGGGCAGGAAATGGCAGCCTGCCCTCTACTTGGCTACCGACTGTCAAAAAGCTTTTCCTGGTGTTCATACAACAGCGCCTCTTACCATGGATGATACGTTCTGCTACACACTGCCCCCTGCTGGAGCCAACCCATACCAAGATCACACAGTAAGGACAAACAATCTGTTGTGGGAAAACACCATTTACTTGGTCTTCAGTCAGGGTTAATATGTTTTTTTTGCTAGATTATTACAGGACAAACACTATTTAACATGACTTCAGTTTGTATTATTAGTACTCTGAAGAAGTTTTGAACAATCAACAGCTTGTATGCATTTGTGTATTTTTCTACTTTCTACTATTATTAAAGCATATTCTAAGGTGTCTTCACAATAAAGATGTCTGATTGTCAAAAAAAAATTGCTGTACAACCTTTTGAGTTTTGCACCTTAAATGTTTACAGGATTCATGTTTAATTCATCAGACTTGTAAAGATGACAAAGACATGTATTATGTAGAAATGGGCCCAGGTTTGAACCTGTCAAATTTTTTTGAGTGGCAATGCACCAGAAGAGAGTTGCAAAAATGGATTACAGCATTGGGACGTTTGTGATATAGGTGCAAAACATCCCGTGATGGAGGTAAAATGATGGTAAATACAGTATAAAAATATGTACATTTTTCTTTCTCTTTCTCAGATTGAATTCAATCCATTGCGTCAGTATACTTATGTCCCAGCTCCCAACAGCCAAAAAATTGAAGGCAAGTATTTCTGTCTTCATATATCGTAAGTTACTCCTTGTATCTTAACTGGTGGAGCATAAACCTGATGAAAGGCTGTAGCCCGCAGACTGACTGATGTCTAATTGACAGATGTGTCTGGGTTGACGGGGCTGAGGGTGAGGCTGACGGAGCTGGGTGATGTGCCACGTCTACCAGGCAGGGCCCTCAGTAGGTTCTATGCCCTGAAGGAGATGAAGGTGATGGGCAGCTGTATGTGCCATGGGCATGCCAACAGATGTCTCCCAGAAGCCTACAACAACCCACTGTCCAGTGCCATACAGGTATGTATGCATGTGTTTTAGGGTTTGGACAGCTGGGGAGTAGCTGATAGAGATAGTGTTGTTTTATATGATTCATTGTTTCTTCTTCCAGTTTTTGCAATAAGCTGGGCTAAACGCCTCCTGGACCTACAGTGTCTCTGTACTGCATACTGGATGCTCAAATAAGAGACTGTTAGACTCAGTAAGATGGAAAGCAAGGGGATTTTTCAAAATGCCACAGTAGAATTTATACTTTAGTTGCTCTAACAGTGGATTTTTAAAAAGCCATAAATGAAAATGGCATAACTGAAATAAGCAGCTGATAAAGAAGCCCCAGAAACATCTAACCCCGACACTAATCTTCATGTATGCTCAAATTTGACACAAAGATCAATTCTCCAGTGTTACATGAGTGACACAAAACATTTTAAAAACGTAAATTACTATATCTAGCATGCATTCTCTCTTTGGCGTTCTGCTTTACTTTATCCACATTAATTATATGTAAATAGAATGATAGAAAAGATTTGTGCCATCACAAGTTCAGAAATCAAATTGGTATCTGTCTTCAGTCACAAAACCAGATCTATTTAAATTACAGCTGTGTGAAATTGTCATCAATTTCAAATTAAAACATATTTGTGAACTGTTTTGAACTGAAATCTGCTCTGAATTTCATTCCAACTTTTTGTGCAGATTCTCAGTCATCCAGCTGAATAACTTCAAATCAACTGGACTAGGTTTCTAGGTCGAAGACGTCTCACCTCTCATCCAAGAGGCTTTATCAGTTCTGCTTGACTGGTGTTGAGACGGAGATATTTATCTCCCTCGGTGGTGGACTGAAACACTGGATAAATATCTCCGGCTCAACACCAGTCAGGCAGAACTGATGAGAGGTGAAACGTCTTCGACCTAGAAAGCTAGTCCAGTTGATTTTTTTTCTACATTTTTCAGCTTCATTCCAACTTTGTGCACACTGACACAGGTTTCCATTATTGTTGCAGGCCATAATCAAGATCTATTCCACTGTAAAATTCCTGCT